TCTACAGAAGTTATTATTATAACAAGCAGTCTCAGCATCCTGGCCTATGTCATGTGATGAGGTTTCTCTAGTTCAAAGAATCCCTTTGAGAGGGTGATTCACCTAGAAAAGTTTCATTTCCTGGGATGCTGACTCCAACCTTCAGGTTCTAGGCTTTTTTCTTACTCTACAGAATACTCCCAGCATATTAACTGAAAGCATAGTCTCCTTCAGAGAAAACAAATCAAAGCAATCCATCTGTTTTCAAAACAATTTATTGTTGAATAAAAAGATGAAAGTTTAAAACAACATTCAGGCTTAATAGTGATCACTATAATCAAATGGTATTATGTTCTCACTCATAAGTGGACCTTGGACAGCTATCATAACACCATAAGAAAAGGAATGACAGTAGCAGAAAACTAGCAGGGGGCAGAGGTGGAATTGGCAGTAGTGGGAAACTGCCTGGGGAAGGTGGGGCACACCTCATCAACAAGGGTACCTGCACAATGAGTATTTGTATACCTAACTCTGAGTTGTACCCCACAATTTTAAAATAGAATTTTTTTTAATTCAGAAAAACTTAAAAGAATAAAAATAATAAAAAATAAAATGGTATTGACTGGATTCTCTAGGTTTTCGCTGGTATTCTTCTCAGAGGAAGCAGATAATACTGACCAAGCCACAGGCATGGAAAGTGGGCCCCACTCAGGAGAGATGAAACTGAATGATGTCCGATGGAATTTGCCACCATCTTTTAGTGATATTTATAAACACAAACCTTAAAGATCAAAAGATGCTTGTGATGGGGTTTATGAAACACTACCCCAAAATATGGCACCCTGGCCCACTGCATATTTGAAGCTGAAGAAATTTGAGAAAACCGCAGAAGCAAGAAGGTCTCTCTCACCTTCCCCTGCCCTTCTCCCTTGAAGCAAGTCATAAAACCTAGGGAGGATTTTCTGACCTTTCCCTGAAGCAGATCATACGACCCTCAGATGAGAGGTGCCCTCTGTATACCAGGAGAAAAGGAGTATGCTCTTCTCTGAAGAACCAGGATCCCTGAGAAGAATCTGAACAGACAGACTTGTTTGTCCCCCCTCCCCGGTTCATTACCATAACTTCATACTCTTGACCCTATCATATTTCTCCTCTAATCTCCATTCTCTACCCAAACTACACTAAAAAATGCTCAGGTTTAACCATTTCTTTGGGTCTTTATTTCCTTATGAAAGCTCCTTTGTCACATAAAACTTGTATTAAATAAATGTGTATGCTCTTCTCTTGTTAATCTTCTTTTGTTATAGGGGCCTCAGCCATCAGCCGAGGAGGGGTTGATACAGAGACCCGCTAATGTCTGTCCATATTGTCACAGCCCCTAGAGAAGGGCATGGCAAGGGCTCATGTGCTCCTGTACATTCCTGAACAATATTCCTGAGAGCTAATAAAAGATGCGCTTCCCCTTATCTCCTAGGCACTCCCAGTAAGTAGCTTCAGAGGATCCTTGACTTCCCTGTAGTCTACACCCAATCTATTACTGAAAGATGCAAATCTCCACTTACTCCCTTTTTCTGAGTGGTTATTAGTTTTGAATAATATATATCAATGTAATCGGAAGCCTTGTGATTTGTATAACTTTTGTATCAACATAATCATAAGTTTTGTGATTTGTATAACTTTTGTGTAAAATGCATGATGCCTTAAGCCTTGTAAACTCCCATTACGCTATGGCAAGCTTGATGAACACTTCTGCCGGGCCCTACTGATAAAAACTATGAGACACCTCTGATACCTGGCAGCAGGAAGTCTGGACAGGAAAATGTCACTATCAATAAATGCGCCTGAAACTCAAGTTCTATACAATGCTCTGCTGGTCACATGACTAATGTATAGGTACTAAAAACTCTGAACTTATAAAAGTGAACTGTAAAAAGCCTGGAGGGTGAGCAGAACCATTTTAGGAAAGACTTCAAGTTTGGCTCTGCTACCTGGATTCGAACTCAGAAATAAACTTCTACCAGTTCCCCGCCCCTTTGATTTATTGGTATCAAGGGGAGCGGCCCAGCGTAACTCGAACCATAACAGGGTGGGGGGGGAATGTTTCCTCCCCTACACCTTTCTGCGAATCTTATCCGATTTTGTACGGCATCTTTGGGTTACAGAGCTCAGTTCTGAAGGAAATGGTGGTGAAGGTCAATGTTTGGAGCTGACCTCAACAAAGTACAGATGTGCATGTAAATAGCACTTTTAGCAAAATAGAAAGTATAAGTAAGAGACACAACAACAAAAATGATGATTAAGAATGGAAGGGACTCACTCTTTCATGTTTTCTCCATAAATCAGTTAGCCCCATTCTTCATTGTCAACCTATACTTTTACCTCATTGAAGTCTAGGTGATGACAGGCAGATGTCACTTTGAAACAGTGCCACCACCCACCCACTGCCTCGTCAGTCAGGGAAGGCACATCCCCACTGGTTCTCGGAGCTCTTGGCCCACTGCTTTGCACTGTATGACCACAGGCACAAATCTGGGTTAACCGTTTACCGGCTTTCCTTAGGAGGCCTTCCTTGGCGCTCCAGTTTGTCACAGGACCCCCTTTTACACTCCTTGTCCTTGTTCTTCAACAGTCTCACAGCCCCCTAAACATATCACAATTATAATTAAATATTTCTCTGTAAGATTTGTTTAAAGCTTGCCTCCAGTCAAGGGATGGCCAGGTGCAGAAAGGTGGGTTGTTCCTCACTGTATCCACAGCCCCTGACACCATGCCTGGCTCAAAAAACATTTGAATGAATTATTTTTTTATTTTTTATTAACTTTATTTCATTATGGAGATGTGGGGTGCAAGTCAGGATTATGTACATAAGTAATCTATGTGCAGGTGACATTTGGGCCTCCAACTGGTCCTCACTTCCCCTGGTTTAGGACCAGGTGCCCTTCGTGTTGTTATGTGCTCCCTCCCATGAATAACTTAGAGTAACTTTCTCTGTACTCCTGTCCCACCGTTGTTCTAGTACCTGTATTCCAAGCAGCCATGCTGCTACTGTCTGTGCTTCCCTACATTCCAAGTTCAGGGGGAGTCTCCAAAAGAGAACAATCTCATGAAGCAACAACAAAGAGCTAGTTTATTGTTCCTTAAGTGCCCTTCTAGCTGGTCCTGTTTACATGCATCATTAGCCCGCAGGGAAAACACTCTAAGTGACTTTAGAAATTGCAATCATTAAAATTGTAAACTTTCATTTGAGCCAGGCTACCCCTTTGTGCTGCTACAGTGTCCCTCGTGGCTTCCAGCCCTCTCTCTATGTGGCCCATTCCAGCTTTTAACCTACCATGTGGGCTTTTCATTTGGAGCCTCTTGAGATCTTCAAGCTGTAATTTTCACAAGTGGAACCCTACAGCTCTTTAATATTTTTGTTTATCAGAATTATTCATTTCATTTTGTATGTGTTTGATAGATGAAGTTTCTGTAGCATCTTAAAAAATAGTACTGTAACACCTTACAGCATTAAAAAAAAAAAAAAGAGGCCAAAGACAACCACAAAAAATTTTTTTTAATATTTAAATTAGTATCAGAAAGTTTAAATGTAAGCAACAACTATGCTGTCTCAAGCACATTCAACAGAAAAAAATTAGGAAGATACGAGATAAGAATGTTAAGAAACGAGGCCAGAACTGGTGAGGGTGAGGGAGGTGCAGGGCTAGATCCTGTCTTTATCTTAAAATTTGATAATTTGTTCATTGTGAATTCTTTATTTTGATTTTTTAAAAATATTTCATTAAGATATTACTGATCCTTGTTCAGAAGTTAAACAGAATTATCGCATGACAGCAATTCCCCTCTCAGGTATATACCCCAAAAGAATAAAAAAACAGGCACTTCAACAAACATTTGCACATGATTGTTTATAGCATTAGTATTCACAATAGTCAAAAGGTGGAAACAAATTGTAGTCTACCCATACAATGGAATTTTATTCAGTCATAAAAGGAATGAAATCCTGATCCATGCTACAACATGAATGAACCTTGAAAACATGCTAAGTGAAAGAAGCTAAACACAAAAGACCAGATATTGTATGATTCCACTGTAGGAAATATCCAGAATAGAAAAAGCCATAGAAATAAAAAGGAAATTGGTGGATGCCATAGATAGGAGAAAGGGAAGATGGGGAGTGACTGCTAGTGTGTGCAGGGATTTATTTTGGAGTGACGAAAATGTTTTGGAAATAGATAAAGGTGGTGGCTGCTCAACATAAGTGAATACCACTGAATTGTTCACTTTAAAATGGTTAATTCTGTGTTACATGAACTTCACCTCAATTAAAAAATATATACATACAGGCTGAGTATCCCTAATCCGAAATCCAAAATGCTCCAAAATTCAAAACTTTCTGAGCACTGAAATAATGCCACAAGTGTAAAATTCCACATCTGATCCCATGTGAGGGGTTGCAGTTAACACAGTCAAAACTTTGTTTCATGCATAAAATTATTTAAAATATTGTATAAAATTACCTTCAGGCTATATGTATATGTATATGTATACATGAAACATAAATGAATTTTGTGTTTAGGTTTGGTCTTATTCTCAAGATATCTCATTATGCCTATACAGATTTTCCAAAATCTGAAATTCGAAACATTTCCAGTACAAGCATTTCAGATAAGGGATACTCAACTTGTATTACTGATCTTGATTCCTGAGTGTTTTGGAGCCCTCTTAAATTTTGTATATGAAGTGAGGGCCTTACTTGGTATCTCAAGTTTTGAATATGTTAAATATTACTTTTAACTGGAAATAAACAAGGTGTGAAAGTGAAATAACCTGGGGCCACACACAAGTCTGTGGTGAGTTCCAAGTAACACAGTGACTCAATTTTTTTACTCAAAATTAGTTCTAACACGAGCCCTACCACCCTTCCCATACAACACAGCAAAGGCCCAGTTACCTGGATCCTTGTACATCATCCTGACATCATGATGTACTAGACAAAACATGAACATGCTTTCTCCCCAGTAAGATTGTTGGGAAAAGTTTAATCAGCTACAGAAATTAAGACGTACCAAAGGCTACCTGTGGAGGGAAAAGAACACTACCCCTTTGCTTCTGGTGCATGAAAATATAGATTATTAGATTCCCTTTGAGGCTTTCCATCCCATCTCTGGTGGAGAACAGAGTGATTCTATTAGAATGTGGTGATTTCTTCAACTAGCTCCTTCATCTTGATTTCGATTACTTCAGAAGCTTAAAAAAAAATGTATTAGGAACATCAGAAACTGAATAATATAAGTCCTTTAAATACCTCCAGTTAACCTTTGCACCATTTTGGCTTGCTCTTAAAGGTCTCTGTGTTTGAAACAAACCTAAATAGACACAGTTTTGCTTCCCTGCCTCCCATAAATATGAATATTCCTCCCCTTAGTGAATATGAAGAAGGTTCACACTGGAGCAATTAACTCTTTACAAGTCTTCCAAAAGCTGTTGTCCCTGCTAAAGAATGGCTTAGACAAGTCTAGGCCTACCATATGCTTAGGGTAATCCAGGCACCATCTGTCTTTGAGCATAAATTTAATAAAGCTATCCAGGCTGGTATCCTCTCTGATAGTCCATAATAGAGCCAAGGGTAAAATAAACTGCCCTTGGACACTAAGCCTGTCTCTTGCACCTTCCGACAAAGAAATAAAATACGATTTTATTTTCTAAAAGTCCAAGGTATCTCTATGAGTGGCCTAGACCAAGAGTCAGAAAACTGTTTTTGTAAATAAAGTGTTATTGGAACACAGTTGTGTCCATTTACCATGTATTGTCTATGGCTACTTTCCCACTACAACACCAGAGTTGAGTACAGAGGCTGCGTGGCCTGCAAGTCTAAGGTTTAATTTTTTTTTTTGAGTTGGAGTCTCACTCTGTTGCCCAGACTGGAGTGCAGTGGCCGCTCCCAGTCACCGCAGCCTCGACCTGCTGGGCTCTGGCGATCCTTCCGCCTCAGCCTTCCAAGTAGCTGGAACTACAGGCGCGCGCTACCACACCTGCCTAATTTTTTGATTTATTGTAGAGATGAGGTCTTGCCAAGTTGCCCAGGCGGGTCTCGAACCCACGGGCTCAGGCAATTCACTCACCTCAGCCTCCCAAAGCGCGGGATTAGAGGTTGAGCCACCGAGCCCAGCTAGCCTAAGGTATTTACTATCTGGCCTTACAGAAAAAATTTACCAACCTCTGACCTAGACTATCACAACTCCAACCACAACAGCCTCCACATATACGTTTATAGGTGTACTTATATATTTATTCCTGGTCTCAGGTGCATTCCATTTTCCCCAAACGCTAACTCTTAACAGTGCCATGGGCTGTCACATCTGTCCTGCTAACTGAGCCAAACAGGAGCATTCTGAAGGAGCAGGATTTTGCGAGACAAGTCCTGTAATGCCACCCTCTGCGCCAAGACACCAGCTTGTCAGTGAGGCAAATTAACAACACTCAAACATTCCAGTACTCAAAGATTCCATCTTACCCTCGTGGGCAGTCCCCATTATTTCTAGTCATATATTCATTTCAGTTTATTTCCAACTCAGTTATCCTTGGCTCCGAAAAGCTGTCATCACTGGCATCGCTGTATCTATCACTAAATGTAAAAAAGAAACTAATTTAGCAAGGTGTTAAAAAAACAGCATGCACAATTATTCAATTTGCAATCTCAAACATATTTCATATCAACCTCACTCAGAGAAAATACTGAGGAATATTCTTTTAGCACTTTTTCATCACTAGAGAAGAGGCTAGTCCAACCACACACAACAGCCTCATTCCTTGGTCAGAAAAACTGACTACTTGCTTTCATTGTACATTGGAAGTGACTTATTCAGAAAAATTGTAAAAGCACTTCAATTTCAATTGAAATGTATAATCTTCTAAAGACCATTGATCATTTCTAAACTTTAACAAAAGCCTTGAAAGTAGATTGCTGGCCGGGCTCAGTGACTCAGCCTGTAATTCCAGCACTTTGGGAGGCCAAGGTGAGTGGATTGCCTGAGCCCACGGGTTTGAGACCCGCCTGGGCAATTTGGTGAGACCTCATCTTACAATAAATCAAAAAAATCAGCCAGCGTGGTAGCGCATGCCTGTAATTCCGGCTACTCGGAAGGCTGAGGCGGAAGGATCGCCGGAGCCCAGCAGGTAGAGG